ATATCCCTGATCCAATGTAAAGGGAATTTCCCTGGGGTGTGGCCTGCACCACCTTTTACCTTACAAGAGATAAAAGGAAAGGGAAACAAACAGAGAATTGGGGACCTCATACCATCAAGAAAGCAGTGCCAGGACAGAGCCCATCCTTTGGACCTGGGTCCCTGCGCAGAGAAGCTCCTAGTCCAGGGGAACACTGAAGAGAAGAAGGCTGACAGAGGGAAAAAGCCTTCTCCTGGAGCCGACGCCCTGAATTTGGACTTTTAGCCTACTTTAATCGTGAGGAAATAAACATCGCTTTGTTAAAACCATCCCCTTGTGGTATTTCTGTTAGAGCAGCACTGGATGACTAAGACAGAGGGTCATCATTTTAAACTCCTCTCCTCCCTCACCCCACATGCATTCAGCAGCATCTAATATCTCCTGTCTCCGAAGTGCATCTCCTACATTCATCTTCACACCCCGAGCCTAATACTCTGCCTACCTGTTTTGCTCTCCTCCAATCCTGCCAATGGAGGCACTCCAAAGACCCAGCTCTGAGCACGTTTACTTCCCCTGCTTAAAACCCTTCGTTGGCTCATCCTAGTTCAGGGAATAAAATCCAGGCTCTCAGGGATGACACATAAAGCCTCCAGGACCTAGCCCCATCTATCTCCATCTCCAACCCACGCCTCACCTCTGCTCCTTCTGTTCCAGCCACAAGAACTGCCTACAGCCTCTTGACTCTCCTGGCCATTTCAGACCTAGGAACACTTGCCTGGAATTTTCCTGGCCACCTGACAACCCTACTCACCTTTTAAGATGGAGCTCCAATTTCACCATCACTTTATGTAGTCATTTCTTTAAAAGAATTTATACACACACACACACACACACACACACACACACACACACACCCCAATCGTTGAGCTCATGACAGTGATTTTGAAATATATACAGCATGGGCACCTACCAATCAGAACAAACACTAAGCATGGGGCCAGAGCAGGGTCCTGGAGGCCTCCTACTATACCAGGGTATTAGCCTATTAGTTGCTGGATTGTGAGGAGGCCCAGTGGTTCCGAGGGCATTCAGGGAGCTCAGCATAGTAGCTACTGACTGACCAGCACAGAAGTATTTCAGTCTGGTGGCCCAGCTGCACGTGAGCACAACCTGGAGCTCCTACTGTGTAACAGATTCTGTGCTAAGCTAAACCTCTCTATGTACTACCTCATCCAATCCTCACAACCACCTGAGGTGTTGTTATTGCCACATCATAGATGAGGAGACAATGGCTCAGTGGCTCAGTTGACTGAGTTGCCCAGGGTCAGACAATAGGTGGCAGAGCAGTCTCCCCACCAGAGTGCTGACAGCCGTGCATGGGGAGTTTCACTGCAGCCTCTTATCCTGGTGCTCCATTACCTGCAGCTAGTCAACACCTTCAATAACTTTTGACTATTCCCTATGCACAAGGAGCCCTGGTGGCACAATGGTTTAAGAGTTTGGCTGCTAACCAAAAGGTCGGCAGTTCAAATCCACCAGCTGCTCCCTGGAAACCCTGTGGGGCAATTCTACTCTGTTCTATAGGGTCACTGTGGGTCAGAACCAACTGGATGGCACGTAGCAACATTTCCTATTCACAGGGCTAGGCAATCCAGTGTTTCCTGGAGATTTCCATCACTGATAGAAGCATGCAAAGGGGCTTTTGGAAACCCATTCTAACCATCTCCAGCCCAACCCAGGCAGAACTGGCCACTGTTTCTGCCCCACTACACCCGGCTATGTTGAGCCCTGGTGGTGCAGTGATTACGAGTTTAAGAGCTCAGCTGCTAACCAAAAAGGCTGGCAGTTCAAACCCACTAGCCTCTCCTTGGAAACCCGACTGGACGGCACACAACATAAAAACCAAACCCATTGCCATCGAGTCAATTCCAACTCATAGTGACCCTACAGGACAGAGAAGAACTGCCCATATAGGGTTATCCAGGCTGTAATCTTTATGGGAGCAGATCACCAGGTCTTTTCTCCCACAGACCTTTTGGATAACAGACTAGTGCTTAACCACTGCACCACCAAGACTCTTCCTTATGACACCTATCGGTTTGCACGACTATTGCCCCCACTGGGCTGTAAGTCCTTTGAGGACAAAGATCTCATTGCATCCATCTTTGGATTTGCTGGTTCTTTGCAAAATCACTGGCTATGAGCTCAATAAATGTTTGTTGAATGAATGAGCAGACACATGAACAAATTTTAAGACTGAAATCTGATTTTCATCTGGGGTAAGGCCTATCTCTAACTGCCATCCTAAGGGATATATGAATTCATAATATATTCCCTTTATTTTCACCACTTGAATTCATATTTGACATTTACAGATGTTTTCTGCTATATGAGAAACTATTAAGCCACTCTATAGTCCAAGATTACTAGTCATGGTCAAGTAAGTATCAACTCATGGCAACCCTATGTGTCAGGGTAGGACTGTGCTTCACAGGGTTTTCAACAGTTAATTTTTTTGGAAGTAGACTGCCAGGCCTTTCTTCCAAGGTACCTCTGGGTGGACTCAAACCTCCAACCTTGCAGTTAGCAGCCTAGCACATTAACTGTTTGCACCACTCAGGACTCCTAGTTCAAGATTAGAAACTGTAGAAGACAAGGAGTAAGAATGTGCCCAGTGCAACCAACTGATCTAGAAGGAACCAGAATTTCCTTCATGCATGGGATGTTATGCTGCTCAGCACCTCCCAAAAATAATGTTAACTAGTTATTAAACCATACTTATCAACTCTTAGACCTTAAAATAAAGAGGATTTCTAACACCTAACAGGGCCCCATCCCGATTTGCAAACTCTTTTGAGAGGAAACATCAAGCTCAGCATTGTGAAACCTTGGGGATGCTGCCTCAAGAACCCAGAATGGCTGACAACCTCCGAGATGAGGGGCCCTACAGTCAGAGCAGTGGGTATGAAGCCACAGATGCCAGGTCCTGGCCCCCCTCTACTCACTGGCTGGGAGAGAAGAGAGGCTCCGGGCCCCTGCAGCCTCAGGCTCCGAAACAGTACCAGCAGCAGCAGCAGGTGCTCACAGGTCACCTTGGACCTGCACTGGTGGAAGGTGGATGCTGAAGGAGGTGGACCCAGGGTAGTTATGGTTAAGACCAGGGCCTGGGTTCCAATCTCAGCCCTGCTACTTCCTAGCTAATGATCTTGCATTATACCAGCTGCTGCTCAGCCTGCTTCCCCTCTATAAAACATGCAATGGTATCACCTACCTCAGAGGAGTATTAGGAGGAATAAAAATGAGGCCTATAAAGTGTTCAGCACAATGCTCAGCACACAAGTGCTCAGCAAACAGAACAGTATCTGTTACTTCTAAGTGGTAGGTGGTGGGTGGTGGTGGTGTTGTGGGAGAATTCTCACCTTTCCTGCTGGAGATCCAGGTTTGATCCTTGGCCAACGCATCTCATGTGCAGTCACTACCCGTCTGTTGAGGCTTGCGTGTTGCTATGATGCTAAGTCAGACTAGGAAGAAAGGCCTGGCAATCTACTTCCAAAAATCAGCCAATGAAAACCCTATGAATCACAATGATCATGAAGATAGCACAGGACCAGGCAGCATTTCATTCCACTGTGCATGGGGTCACCATGAGTTGGGGGCAACCCAACAGGAACTAACAACAGGTGGTAGGCAACCCCAGAGAGTAAAGGAAGCATGCCCACTGCCACTAAGATGGTCTCAGACTGTGGTACTCAACCCTGGCTGCACATTTGAATCAGGGAGCCTTTAAAATGCCAGTGCCAGCCCTCTTTACACCATCTGAATCTGAATCTATAGGGGCAGGGCTCAGGCTTTTTAAAGCTCTCCAGAAGATTCTAATAAGACAGAGTTGAGATCCACTGCTATAGCTAACAGCTGGAGACCAGCAATGACCTACAAACAAACCTAATTGTCTATCCAAAGCATGTCCCCAGGCCTAAGAGTCAGGCCATATTGGTTCTAGAATTAAAAACAAAAGAGTCTTAAAATTGAAAACATATCTAAAATAAAACCACTAACATCGAGTCCATTCTGACTCATAGCAACCCTATAGGACAGAGTGGAACTGCCGCATAGGGTTTCCAAGGAGTGCCTGGTGGGTTCCAACTGCCAACATTTTGGTTAGCAGCCAAATGCTTAACCACTGTGCCATCAGGGCCCCATATCTAAAATATATCATACTAAATTCTCAGAAAGCAGTCACTCTGGAAAAGTCATAACAAAGCTCAAGTTGTTTATTAAGAATTAAAAATACTGTAAATAAGCCATACAGTTCATTTCACAGTAAACTAAACAAACCTTTTTTTTTTCTTTTCAGTTTTTGTTTTTTGTTTTTTTTTTTTTTCTCTTCTTCTTTTTTTTTGAAGGGCAAGACAGCCACTATAAAACAGTACAGCTCCCAAGGAAAGGAGTACCACAAACAATTACAGAACTGCAGTACACACTTTCCTCATGGACAGATGGGGGTTGGGGGTCTGCTTCGACAGCAAACCTCTTCATGGACATCATGTTTAAAAAAGAAAACAAAAAAGATGCCGCCTCCATTCCCCAGGGAGACACCCAATTCCTTTGTGAACAGTGTTCACGATTTCTTGAAAGAACCCAAGGACTCCACTTGCTGGGATTCTAAACCTATGCATCCTGTGGTGACCCGGCCAAAAGAGCTCACACAGGCAGGCCACAAGCAATCTGAACTGCCTGAATTCTTTGCATAGTTACCTTCAATATGACTAGATGGCGCAGGAAGGGAAAAGACACCCACACCACGGCAGATAGCCCAACTGCTAAGGAGCTGAAAACCAAGGGGCCTTTCCCCTTCCCAATTCAGAGCTGACATATATGAGTTTTACCCAGTTTAAAGTGGAAGACAAGAAGCGAGTGACATCGCATGAAAACTTCAGTCAGGATTAAAAAAATAAAACAAAACGAATTTCTCCTTAAAAACAATTAGAAATTAAAGAACCTCCCTTTCTCCCTCTTTTTTCACTTGGTCCTGCCATCAAGCAGGGTTTTTTGAGGTTAATCTGCTTCTGTTAATCCTCAGTTGATAGCAATATCTTTTTTCTCTAACTCTAGAGACATCCCTTTTGAAAACCACCACTGCTTCATACGAGCCCTGGTGGTGCAGTGATAGGGGCTGGGCCTTTGGGAACCCAACTAAAAGCAGAAGCAGAAAACTTAAGAAACCAATGGCGTGTGGTAATAATTGTAAATAAATTAACTGGGCACAAAAAATGTAATGCCTTGGTGTTCCAGGTGGTGTCTACCGCTCTTTAAGAGGGGACAAGAAAGGGGGGTGCGGTGGGGTTGTGGTGAGAGATGGCAGGAGAAAACAACATATTTTTTGGTCATGAGAAGTTGGACTTTAAATCCATGCCCTGCGCACACAATTCATTTAGATCTTTTCGTGAATCTTTTCAACTTTCACAAACAACCTATCCAGATCATTTCTCAGGTCGTCTAGCAAAGCCTTGGCTGATTCCAAGTTGTTCTCGTTGGTTTCTATTTTGACCGAGTATGCGACCAAACTGTCCACAGCAGTCCTGAGCATTTTCAAGTCCGACTCCACTTGGCTTACTGAGGATTTTAGGTTGTCTAGAGAAGAAAGTTTGTCCAGGTAGTCCTGAGGAGGCACATGGGCTGCCTGGGCTTGGTCCTGACTAAGCAGCGAGTGGACTTGCTCTTGTACCTTCTGGAGCGCCTCCACGGTGCTGGGGAGCTCACCCACACTTCTCTTCAGCTCTTCCACATCAGCATGGAGAGAAAGCTGGGCCTCCCCCAGGCTCCTCACAGTTCTATCCACACCGTCCTTGTCTGCCTCCGAGGAGGAGCCCAGGCCTTCCACGCGCTCCTGCAGGGCGCTCAGGCGCTGCTCATACTCCTCACTCTTCGACAGGAGGGATTCCAGGCTCTCCGTCTGCTGTGCAGAAGTTGACTGCATGGATTGGACTCCATCTTCCACACTTTGGAGCCTAGAGTCCAATCCCTGACTCGTTCTCTGGAGCGCTTCAAAGGCGTCAGAGTTTCTGAATACTCCATCTTCTTCCAGCCTATTGGAATCAGCTTTCAGTTGGTGTAGCTCTTCCTCAAGTCTCCTGATCTCCCCTGGGAGGCGAGAAATGGACTCCTCAGACTGGAGAATCTTCTCCGTGAGGGTCTGCAAGGTGACATGCTCCATGTCAGCCACCTCCTTGAACTTCTGCTGCTCCTGCTTGAGGCTCACCAGCTCTTTGACCTCTGTGTACACGTCAGACTCCATGGTCTGGAGGGTGCTTCTCAGGGCCTCAAGGTCCTTTTCTTTAGACTTCAAAGAAGTTTGTATTTCCTTCACAACTTCTTTCATAGCTTTCAAGTCCTGCTTGTACCCCTCGGATTCTTCCAAAGAGGCAACTTTCGCCTTCACATCATTTATTTCCTTTTGGCTCCTCTTCTGAACTTCGGTGAAGATGGCAATGTTGTCGTTGATGGACTTGGTGAGCTCCGTCAGCCGCTCCTCCACCGTGTTCTCGAGGGACGTGAAGTCTCGCTCTCGGGCATCCTTCACCACGTGGATTCCATCTGAAAGATCTTTGAGAATCTCATTCTGGAGTTTCTGTAGAACTTCACTGATCCGGTTGATCTCGCTCTCCCCTTGCTTCACAGCTTTTTCTGTGAGATCCTGCTTATGTTGAGAGCTTCTCAAGATGGACTCAAAAGTCCCAAATGTGGCTTGCAGAGACTGTACCTGTAACCAAAATCTAGATGTTAATTGCTGGGAAGAGCTGATGAGTTTTATACTACACAGCTATGTTATACCTGCCTAGCCTCTAGGTCTCTCCTCTCCCAGAATGACACCCCAACTTTCCTTTGGAGAGCCATCCTTCCACACAATCCACATGGTTTGGGAGACTAACCCTAGGATGCCCTGCTCTCCAAGCATTCTATGAGTGGTTTCACAATCAAGCCTGACCAGTCCACATTTTCCAAACTCCACCCCCACCCTGGGCTGCCGTGATTAGCCCAGAGATGGGCATGTGGCCTGAGTAAGGCCAACGAGCCAATTCCAGGACTCCTGTTAAAACTACAGGGAAAGAAAATCTCTTTTCCAGTGGCACTGCTAGCTATAGGTGCAGTAAGGCTGGAGTTGTTCAAACCAACAAATGAACATCAGTCTGAGAATCAAACCAACACAGAGAACTCGGAGAAGAAACTAAAAGTTCCGAGTACACAATTTTAATCTCTAGAAAGCAGGCAGACCTGAAAGAATCTACTCTTAAACTATTTGAGTCAGTAAATTCTCTTTCTTTAAGGCAGTTTTAGATGGGTTTCTAGCTCTTGCAACTGAGTCTCACAAGTCTTTGTAAAAAAAAATCTGAGGTACACAGGGGACACTGGGCTGGGAGGCAAGAGACAAGGGTACCGGCCTCTGCTCGCCACTTCTAGCTGTGTGGCCCTGAAAAAGTCACTGTATTCTCTGTACCCCAGTGTCCTCACCTGCAAAATGCGAGCAATGGATCAGATGATCTTAGCATTCTCTGACTTTGTGAACACATTATGATCTTGCTTTTCCACCATGTATTTATTCTAAGTAAATTCTAACCTAAGCAAGGACTGACCTGGGAACTATCCAGGGGAGCGAGCTTAATATACTGACAGGCGGTATAGGACGATGATGAAAAACCTGGGGGCCCAAGGAAGCACACAGTGCCACCTCTGACACTTTCTTGAAAAATAAAAAGAACCTGAATCTATCAACTACCAGTTTACAGAAAACACACGAGATAGAGGCTAGGATGCAGTCAGCCAAATCCAACGTAGAAAACTCTACAGGACAAATGACTAGGCTCTTCAACAATAAATGGCATTTTAAAAGGGGGGAAGAGGTGAAACTATCATAGATTAAAAGAAACGTAAGAGACTTAACAATCGGAATTAATGCATAGCCCTTATGTAAATCCCAATTCAAACAAACTAACTATAAAAAAGACTTTTTTTTTTTTTTTTTTTTTTTTTTTTGAGAGAATCAGGGAAATTTGATTATGGATTAGGTTTTGGTTTGTGGTCAGTTGTTAACCTAAAGGTTGGCGGTTTGAACCCACCCAGCCACTCTGTGGAAGAAAGGCCAGCCAAGAAAATCCTAAGGAGCTCGGTTGTACTCTGCAATGCATCAGGTCACCATGAGTCGGAACCACTCAACGGCAATGGGTTTGGTTTTTTTTGTTTTATTAGATGAGATTAAGGAACTATTGTTAACTTGGTTTGGTGTGATAATACTGTGTTTTGTTAAAAGAAACAAGGAAAGGAAAGGAAAAGAACGCTTATCTGTCAGAAATAAATTCTAAAATACTTTGGGTGAAATAACTGTTAGCAATTAATTTTAAAATACTCCAGGCAAAAAAAGGGGGGGGGGGCAGGGGTGGTGAGAAGAAAGAATGGCATAATGTTGATAATTATTGAAATTGGGTGTCAGGTAACCAGGGATTCATTATATTGCTCTCTTTTCATTTGTTTATGCTTAAAATTTTCCACATTAACGAGTTAATAAAATAAAATAAAATAGTGGCTCTGCAAACAAACTTCTGGTGTTGTTAGATGCCATCGAGTCAATTCCGACTCCTAACGACCCCATGTTACAGAGTAGAACTGCCCCATAGGGTTTTCTTGGCTATAATCTTTATGGAAGCAGATTACCAGGTTTTTCTCCAGTGGAGCCACTGGGTGGGTTCCAACTCTCAACTTTTCAGTTAGCAGCTAAGTATCTAAAGGTTTGCACCACCAGGACTCTTGGAACCAAACTGCCTCGGTTCAAATCCTAGCTCTGATACTTCCTAGCTGTGTACTCTTGAACAAGTTATTTAGTTTATCTGTGGCCTTGGTTTCCCCATCTGCACAATGGGAATAAAAATAGTATCTGACTTAAAGGACTGCCTTGTGAGTAGAAAATGAGTTAATATATGTAAAGTGCTTAAACTGTGCCTAGCACAAACCAAATACTCAACAGATGACAGTCATCACCTTCATTTACAAGCCCTGGTGGCACAGTAGTTTAAAAGCTTGGCAGCTAACCAAAAGGTCGGCAGTTCGAATCCACCAGCTGCTCCTTGGAAACCCTATGGGGCAGTTCTACTCTGTTCTATAGCGTTGCTATGAGTTGGAATTGACTCGCTGGCAACAGGTTTGGTTTTTTTGTTTTTGGTGATGCAGTGGTGAAGCGCTCAGCTGCTAACTTAAAGGTCGGCAGTTAGAACCCACCAGCCACTCCATGGCAGGAAGATGTGGCAGTCTGATTCCGCAAAGATTTCAGCCTTGGAAACCCTATGGGGCAGTTCTACTCTGTCCCATAGGGTCGCTGTGAGTCAGAATCAACTGGACGGCAACAGGTATTGCCATTATTATCGTTTACTCTTGTCCTGAAGTACCTCAGAAGTCTATAGATCTCCAGCACCATCCTCAGTCCAATGCCAAAGACAGGGGGATAAACTGAAAACACAGCGGGAATGTCAACAGGACACCTGGGCTCTAGTTCCAGCTCCACTAATAATCAGCTCTGCGAGCGCACTTCCCCTTCCCAAGCCAGTTCCTCATTTATGAAACAGGTGGCTAAAGTTTCTGCTAGCTCTGCCAGTCTATGATTTTAAGACGGAATAAGGTTCCCGGGGACTCTAGAATATTAAACAATTTCACTACCCAACCAAATTCAATCTGAGTCATAAAGGACACTTCAGACGGTGCTGGAGAGAAGCCCAGCTCTGAACCAGGTTATTAAACCACAGTACCTGCCTGTGTAAGCATAGCACTCAGAATGGAAGCAGGAGCAGGTGAGCCCAGAACCTGCAACAGGGCAGGTGTTTACCCAGTATTTTTTGAATGAATCGAGGAGCGAATTCATTAACAGAGCAAAGCCTCTGATGAAGACCAAGCTGGTCGATTTCCCTTCTGGCCCCTCACTATTACCCCTAACCTGGGCTGGCTCTTTATAGTTAGGAAGGGGGCTGTATCTGAAATTACGGATGAAACCAAACCAACCAACCTCCACCACTATAAAAAGAACAAAGAGAGTGTCCCTTGCTGATTATTTTGAGTTGTTCATTTTTACGTGCAAAGAACCCATTCTAATCACTATGCATTGGATGTATCTGTTAACCAAACCTATGTGGGGTACCCACAAAGTGGCAGATGCTGGGCAAGATGCCTGAGGTAACATAACAACTAGGACAGGATCTCTGTCCCCAAGGAGCTCAGCCTAGTTGGCGGGGGGGGGGAGAGGTTAGCCATGGCTGGCATTCAACTTCAACAGGGCACTTACTGTGTACCAAAACTATGCAAGATATCTTACAGGCATTATCTCAACAAAACCAAAAAACCAAACCCTTTGCCATCGAGTCGATTCCGATTCATAATGACCCTACAGGACAGAGTAAAAGTGCCCTATAGGGTTTCCAAGGCTGTAAAATCTTTTTACAGAAGAAGACTGCCACGTCTTTCTCCCACGGAGCAGCTGGTGGATTCTAACTGCCAACCTTTCGGTTAGCAGCCGAGCGTTTAAACATGGCACCACTAGGGGGTTACAGCCTCGTAATAGTATCATGAGTTCGTTGCTTCCACTGATTTCCATTTTACACACAAGGAAACTGAGGATTAGGGAATTTAGGGTCACGCTACTGGTATGTGACAGAGCTAACCATCAAAAACCTGAGCTCCTAGCCTCCATGTGATCTCCTCAGGCAGAGGTGTGTTCAAAGTGCATGAGTGCATGGAGGAGATGCTTCCTAAACCCCAGGTCTGCCTCCTTGTCCGGAGAGTCAAGACGGGAAACAAAGAAATAGGGCCAGAGAATTGACTCTTCTGCAAATAGCTGAGTCCCACTGAACTCTCCCCAGCAGGCCTAAGCCCACTCCGCAATCACTTCATGCCACCTGGGTCCCTAGTTCATTATATCCTGGGTCTTCCTGGGCAACACGAGCTCTTCAGAGGGACTAGAACTGACCTGCCAACATTTTCTGAAGCCTTAGACCTACTTCTGTCCGTGCTGAATCTTCTAGGCAAGGCCAAGCCAGCCTATTGGCTGTGCTACAGCCATTCAGAAGACCTAGGCCATTTTCCAATACCAAGAGCACCTGGAGAACAAGAGCGACCAGGGGGGCACTCTATATGGCGGTAGAGTGGTTCAGAGTCAGACTGTCCCAACTCCAATCCCAGCTCCACCACTTACGGTGTGTGTGTGATCTCGAAGGAGTAACATAACCGCTCCGGGCTCAGCTGCCCCATCTGTGAAATGGTGCTAATAAGCAGTACCTGTCCCATAGGGTGGCAGGTAGAACTGAAAGAGTGGCTGTGTAAAGCACTTCATAGAATGCCTGGCCCATGGTGAATACCAATTATTAAAAGTAATACTGGAAAGTACATTTCCTTGCTGATAACCAAACCCCATCCACTACACCTCATCTCACATAGAGTTACAAAGGGGTTCAAATTTCAGCTGTCAGAAAACCAATCACTCTTGGCTCCTCAATGCAAAATAACTTCTCATGTACTGGCCACCCCAAAGGTACAGACAGACTCTGAAGTGGCCGCATGTTGTGGCAAACCCTAATCATGTTCTGAGTTCCAAGTCAATGGAGTAAGTATTTATTAAGCACATACTATATACTAGGCCAGAACCCTGGTGGCGAAGTGGTTAAGAGCTCAGGCTGCTAACCAAAAGGTCAGCAGTTCAAATCCACCAGCTGCCCCTTGGAAACCCTATGGGGCAGTTCTACTCTGTCCTGTGAGTCAGAATAGACTCAACGGCAATGGTTTTTTTTGTTGTTGTTGTTTTTTACCTACTAGGCTAATAGGTATGGGAAAGACAACAAAATGAACAGCAGAGTGGCTAAGAGTGTCCTAGGAGTTAGATAGCCTGGGTTTGAATCCTGGCCCTGCCATTTACTAGTTGTGTAACCATGCAAAGTTACTTAGCCCCTTTGTGCCTCAGTTTCTTCATCTGCAAAAGGGGGATAATACTGCTACTTAGCCCTTGAGGTTGTTGTGAAGGTCAAAAGAGATGATGCATTTTCAAATGCTTAGCACCATGCCTGGCACATAAACGCACAGTAAACATCGGGCATTAAATAGCAGCCTGATTCCACTACAAAAGTTTTTAAAAGATGGTCATGAATTCAATAATTTTAGAGTCGTGAGGATTCTTAAAAATCTGGACTGAGCCCTCCACTCATTGTGTTAATGGGAAAACTGAGTCTCAAAGAGGAAAGTAATCTGTATGTAGCCAAGGGAAACATAAGAAACAACAAAGAGGAATAAGGGTAAGAAAATGTTCTGCATTCCACTTTGGTGAGTGGCGTCTGGGGTCTTAAAAGCTTGCAAGCAGCCATCTGAGATGCATCAATTGGTTCCATCCCACTTGGAGAAAAGGAGAATGAAGAAAACCAAAGACACAAGGAGAATATTAGCCCAAGAGACAAAAGGGCCACATAAACCAGAGACTCCACCAGCCGGGGACCACGAGAACTAGATGGTGCCTGGCTACCACCAATGACTGCCCTGACAGGGAACACAACAGAGAGTCCCGGACGGAGTAGGAGAAAAGTGTGGAGCAGAACTCAAATTCATGTAAAAAGACCAGACTTAATGGTCTGACAGAGACTGGAGGAACCCCTGAAACTACGGCCCCCAGACGCTCTGTTAACCCAGAACTGAAACCATTCCCGAAGCCCACTCTTCAGACAAAGATTAGACAGGACTATAAAACAAAAAAATAATACAAGTGAGGAGTGTGCTTCTTAGTTCAATCAGACAGATGAGACCAAATGGGTGGCTCCTGTCCAGAGGCAGGATGAGAAGGCAGGAAGGGACAGGAACTGGTTGAATGGACACAAGGAACCAGGGGTGGAAAGGGGAAGTGTGCTGTCACATTGTGGGGATTGCAACCAATGTCACAAAACATTATGTGTATAAATTTTTGTATGAGAAATTAACTTGAGATGTAAACTTTCACCTAAAGCACAATTTAAAAGAGAGGAGAAATAAGGGAAGTACAGGGAGGAAGCACCTAGAATAAAGCCCAAGTTCTTCAACCTGGACTCAAGATCTTCCCCCATTTTGGTTCCACTTCCAACCTCCTGTCTCACTACTCCCTAAATGCCACTCTGCTATGGGCTAAGTAGCCACTTCCTGTCCCCTCAAACATGCTCAAGATCGTCTTCCTTCTTTCCACGATTATCAATCACCAACTAAATGACTAGCACTATCCTGGCCCTGGGTGGTACAAACGGTTAACATGCTCAGCTGCTAACCAAAAGGTTGGAGGTTCAAGTCCACCCAGAGGTGCCTTGGGAGAAAGGCCTGGGGATCTAGTTCCCCTAAAAAAAATCAGCCACTGAAAACCCTGTGGAGCACAGTTCTACTATGACACACATGAGGCTGACATGAGTCAGAATCAACTCGACAGCAACAAGTTACTCTGGCCACCAGGCACCCAGGACTAGGCAAATTCCAGTCTCCTGAACCTGCACAGCAGTTACCCTCAACTGACACCTACTGATATGCTCCTCCACAAATATGATTCACAACTTCTCTGCAACAGGAAGGGCCCTGTCTTTTGCTCTTTAGAACCTCCAGAAGGCCTACAGAGAACCATATGACTATCAGACTGCAATAAACAGTACGATTGATAGGTGGTGGGTGGGTGGATGGATAAAAGAGAGGAAACAGAGAGACCAGTGATTATGCTCTGGCAGTATGTCTATTTTTTAAGAGTCACCTGACATCCAGGAGAGGCAAAGCAGCACTGCCTACTTACTTCCCTTAGAAAAGTCACCTTCCTTGGCCTGCATCATTTAGCAGGCTGACTCATTCCAGTTGCTCTGCCAGTTTTAGGAAGAAATTCCTAGTCCTGCACACTCAACAGAAGTACAGAGAAAACTTGGCAGAACAGGCAGCATGCTGGGAAAAGAAGGCAGCAGTTCCGGGCTCAGAAGTGGCGGGATTTTTTGTCTCCGTCATGCAACTTTTATTGAGCAATGAAATTAGTGGAGGATGGAGGAGGGAAAAAGAGATTGGTCTGGGCAAACCAGAGTGGGGCCCATGCACGCCTAACTAACCTGTGGACCTTTAACTGGGCAGTCTGAGGAGCATGGAAGGGGCAATGATCTAGATGTTATCACTCTGCCACTTGCCAGCTGGGGGTATTTGTCAATTCACTAGAGATTCAATTAATGTCTGTAAACCTCAATTTTCTGGTCTGGAAAATGGAGTCAAAACCACCAGTCCCACCTCCCTCCCAGGGCTGCTTTGAGGATTAGATAGTATGTGAGCAAGCCCTCTAAACACCGTACAAACGAACCTGGAGGTGGTATTCACCAGCATGACCTAGTATTTTGAGGCTTTCCTTCCCTCTAAAGCTGAAGTATGCTTCTTCAAATGCCCACATGGGTCCCAAGGGGCCTCTTACATATTTAGTGTGAACTTCACAAATGAATAAGAATACTAGCTTTTCCTTTCTCAAGCTCCAGTGTCTATTAAAAACTGGCTCATATGTCCCCCACTGGGAGAGCTAAGGTGCGGCCTTGCCCGAGAGGCTTCCAGGGATGCGCCAGCTGCCTTCCAAGCTCCTTTTCATACAACTGCCCATCCAGCGTCTCCTAATCCAAAAAGAATGGGCTCCGGAGGGCCTGCCGGCTTCCTTACAGGTCACCGCTAATGTCCTGTGACATGCCCTTGGCCCACCCTCCCCGCTGGCCCAACCATCCTCGCAGAGGTCCTTCCCTCGGGGCCGATTCCTCCGCAGCCATTAACAAAGAGAGTCTGGGGTCCGACTCGGAACAGGAGGGGACGGGGAGAAGTCAACTCTCCAGAGCCAGGCCGCGCCCGGCGCCTACGCGCCCGGGAGGGGCTTGCCGGGGTGGGGGTGGGGGGCGGCTACGGGGCCGAGGCAGGGCAAGGGGCCCGGCTGTGGGTACGGAGGGCGCTCCGGGTTGAGGAGGTTCGAGGGAGCCAAAGGTACCCACCTTCTGCTCGACGCCTTGCAAGCCCTGGCCCAGCTCCTCCCGCTGCCGGGAGAAGTCCTGGTGGCTGAGCCGGACCTGCTGGACCTCCTCCAGGACGTGGTGGACACACCAGCCCGAGAAGGCGGCTGCCGCCACCAGGGCGAGGTAGAAGAGAAAGTTGAGCGCCTTGCCGAGCCTGCGCGAGCAGGACGCCGAGGACGAGGCGGCGGCGGCGGACTTGCCACCGCCACCGCCGCCGCGGTGGCCGCCCTTCCCGTGCGCCTGGTTGTGCTGGTGCTGATGCTGGTGCGGGGGCGGCGGCGGCGG